AACCTCCCAAACACTGAAATAGCTCTAACAATGTGTGTGTCAACCTCATCATCTGTGTGTATATCCATGGAAAATATACTGCCAAAGTAAGCGAACTTATCCACAGCATTGAAAATTTCTCCATTTGCTGTAACTGATGGTCCCATGTATGGGACCAGTGCTGGCTGGTAAAACACCTGTGTTTTCTTCGTGTTAATTGTTAGGCCAAAATTAGCACAAGTAGCAGATAATTGATATGTACTCTGTTGCATCTCAGCCTCAGAGACAGAATTGAGTGCAGATCTTCTCTGTGAACAAAAAGTCATACACCAACTCTCCCTCCACTTTAATCTTGGCCTGTAGCCTTTTCAAGTTAAATAATTTACCATTAGTGCAGTAGCCAGCCTTGATGCTGTTTTCGTCCTCATTGAAGGCATCCAAAAACATTGCTGAAAACATCATGCTAAAAAGCATGGGAGCAAGCACACATTCCTGCCTCACTCTGTTGTCGACTGGGAAAGCATTGTCCATTATCCAGAACCCATGCAAGCATGCCATCATGAAACTGGTGTACAATACTGAAGAATTTCTCCAGGCAGCCAAATTTTGCCATGATCTTCCACAAGCCCTCATGACTAACAATATGGGGGCCTCAATAAACATCCCTAATTAGAAACATTGGGGTTAAATTTCCAAATTTAATAATAAATAATGAAATCTACCTTCATATGAGGGACCCTTAGACAAAGTAAGAATTAATGAGTATTTTTGTCCCTCCAATTTCAAGACTATTGTGATGATGTGCTAATGTAACAAAGCTTGTTTCAGTAGAGTAACAACAGCTCATTTTGAGGCTGTTTGTCCCCATGATGTTGTATGATGTTTTCATTTGACATTACAATGATCTTAGCCAATAATCAACTCATGAGGCGGCTGCTGTTTTTTAAAATTTTATTTTACCAGATGTTTTCCTTGTGATTTGAGATTATACAGTTCTGTTTCTGTGTCTCAGACTGGGGTATAATTAGGAAATGAGAGGATGAAAAGCTAGAGAGCAAGATTTGGTAATATTGACAAAACAGGAGGAACAAGTCCAGAATAGTTGAAATAAGCCCTGAAGGGCAGGAAAGATGGATCCTAACAATACAGAAGAAGCAAAAATAAATTTTAGGTTAAGGCTAAGGACATCAGTACAGTTCTGTTAGATCTAGAACATTAAGCTTAAGTTTCACTATAGCCATGCTTTTCAATCTTTTTCATTTTGGCATACTCATAAATTTCTTAATTTACATAAAAACACCTGGTCAAGGTTGGGAGTGCCCTGCACACATTGATGAAATTGACATGACAGATTGTGCTAGTAGAGAGAGTGAGATGTGGTTGTGTGGTTTGTGGTTGTGTGGTTTATCCTTCGTTCTCAAAGAGGACCATGACATCGGGGAGATGATGACATGACTTGCAATTGATTTTGATTTGAGTGAGAGAGAGCTGTGCAAAGTCACCAGCCTCACTTTCTCCTTCTGAGCCATCTGGGTCCAGTGGCCAGATATCAATCAGGACAATTGGAGATAGCCCAGGATGCAGTGGAAGACCTTGGCCCTTTTAAGCTAAGGTCTTTTCAGGTTCTTACTTTGAGTGAGGCAACACCCATTCAGTGAATAGGCCTCTTTAAGAAGTGAGTCATGGTAATGAAAAGAAATGCAGGGAAAGGTGGCCTAGCCTTCTCAGAACTTAAATTGTATTATAAAGCAGCAATCATCAAAACTACTTGGTACTGACTAAGAAATGGAGTAGTGGATCAGTAGAATGGGTTAGATATGCAAGACACAGTAGTCAATGACTATACTCATCTACTCTTTGATAAACCCAAAGACCGCAATAATCCAAAGACTTTCATAGTAGAAACAAAAGACAGAGATGGTTAGGTACCATGAGGAGAATTAGGAATAGTATGACATCATGATTTAAGTTTCTTGGGATAGTGTTTCTTTTTTGACTTTAGCACAGTGGGAACAATATTAGGTATTTTAGAAAGAGTGATATATCCCTTGCCATGTGTCCAAATATCAAATAATATTCCTTCACCAATAATATTCCTTTTTTTTGCCCTTTACAACTGTTATAACTTTATTTAACAGCTTAGTAAAAACAGAGGTTTATAGTTCTTAACATGGTATAAGGAGACCAAAATAAAGTTTAACAATACAAAGTGCCTCAAAAAAAAAAAAGCATTCAACTCAAGAATCAGTCACTTCAACAGGACTTCCAAACTTTTCCTAATCAAGTCTTAGAATAAAGACTAAGAGCAACATAAAAGACATTAAAAAAAATGAGAGTTCATTTTTGCCAATTTTAACAATCAAGAGAAAGAAAGTCTGGCTATAATACTTAATGACATGGGCATCAGTTTATAGGGTGTCACTATTTGACAAAACCTGCTTGGAAAACTAGGAAAGAGTACAGCAGAAACTAGGCATAGACCAAAATCTCACACCATATACCAAAATAAAGTCAAAATGGGTTCATGATTTAGATATACAGGCTGATAATATAAGCAAAATGAGAGAACAAGAAATAGTTTACCTGTCAGATTTATGGAGAACAGAAGAATTTATGGCCAAGCAGGAGACAGAGAACATTATGAAATGCAAAATGGATAATTTTGATTACATTAAATTGAAAAGTTTTTGCACAAATGAAGTCAATGTAACCAAGTTCAGGAGAGAAGCAGAAAACTGGGAAAGAATTTTTACAACCAGTGTCTCTGATAAGGGCCTCATTTCTAAAATATATAGAGAACTAAGTCAAATTTATAAGAATACAAGTCATTCTCCAATTGATAAATAGTCAAAGAATATGAGCAGGCAGTTCTCAGATAAAGAAATTAAAGCCATCTACAATCATATGAAAAAATGCTCTAAATCACTATTGATTAGAGAAATGCAAATCAAAACAGCTCTGAGGTACCACATCACCCCTATCAGATTGGCCAACGTGACAAAACAGGTAAATGATAAATGTTGGAGAAGATGTGGGAAAATTGGAACACTAATGCATTGTTGGTGGAGTTGTGAAATGATCCAAGCATTTTGGAGATCTATTTGGAACTATGCCCAAAGGAATATAAAAATGTGCATACCCTTTGACCTAGCAATACCACTTCTAGGGCTGTATCCTAAAGAGATCATAAAAATGGGAAAAGGACTCACATGTACAAAAATATTTATAGCAGCTATTTTTGTGGTGGCAAAGAATTGGAAATTGAAGGGATGCCCATCAATTGGGGAATGGCTAAACAAGTTATGGTATATGAATGTGATGGAGTATTATTGTGCTATAAGAAATGATGAACAGGCAGACTTCAGAAAAACCTGGAAAGACTTGTATGGACTGATGCTGAGTGAAATGAACAGAACCAGAAGAACATTGTACACAATAAAAGCCATGTTGTGCGATGACTAATATTGATAAACTTAACCCTTGCCAGCAATATAAGGATCTAAGACATCTCCAAAGGCCTCATGATAGAAAATGCTATCCACATCCAAAGAAAGAACTATGGAATTTGAATGCAGATCGAAGCATACTATTTGCTATTTTTTTTTCTTCTGTTTTGTTTTGTTTTCTCTTTCTTGTGGTTCCTCCTGTTGGTTCTAAATCTTCCTCACAACATGACTAATGTGAAAATATGTTTAATAGGAATGTATGTGTAAAGCCTATATCAGATTGTGTGCTGTCTTGGGGAGGGAGGTGGAGAGAAATTTTAAACTCAAAAGGTTATGGAAATAATTGTTGATAAATCAAAATAAATTAATAAAAAATTGAAAAAAAGTGAGTCAAGGGATGGCTCCTTTAATTAAAAAACAAACAAACAAACTGGGAGGGAAAGACCCTTAGGATTGCTGGCCAAAAGGGAAAAGGTTACTATTTACATTCACTCTGAGCCTGGAGGGACCAAAAAATAGCCATTAAGTGTTGCTTGGGCAGGGACCTGTGGTTGTCCAATCCATGAGATCCTGAGTGAATTGGATTTAAGGCTTGATCTTTGAGAAAGAAATCTAGCCAGTAAACCCCAAGTTAACTAGGTAGCCTTCAGCATCAAAATTGATGAGAAAGTGGGATGTAAGCCTTTGAAAATAATTTTAATTTATTAATAAAGACAGGGAATAGAAAGAAAGTGTGAACTGGAGGTCCATTAATAGCCTATATAGGAATGGAGTGTTTGGGAAATTCTGACTAATCTTGGGCACATTGGTTGGGAAACTCTGATCTAAAAAATGACAGTAGGCTAAGGGCTCTTTTCTTTTTCTTTTTTTTTATTAATTTCTTTTGATTTATCAACAATCACTTCCAAATGCTTTTGAGTTTAAAATTTCTCTCCCCCTTCCTCCCCACCACCCTCCCCGAGATGGTGCACAATCTGATATAGGCTGTACATATACATGCCTATTAAGAATTAGAACCAATAGGAGGAACCACCAGAAAGAGAAAACAAAACTCAACAGAAGAGAAAAAAAAATAGCAAATAGTATGCTTCGATCTGCATTCAAATTCCATAGTTCTTTCTTTGGATGTAGATAGCATTTTCCATCACAAGGCCTTTGGAGATGTCTTAGATCCTTGTATTGCTGGGAAGGGTTAAGTTTATCAATATTAGTCATTGAACAACATGGCTATTATTATGTACAATGTTCTCCTGGTTCTGTTTACTTCACTCAGCATTAGACCATACAAGTCTTTCCAGGTTTTTCTGAAGTCAGCCTGTTCATCATTTCTTATAGCACAATAGTATTCTATATACCACAACTTGTTCAGCCATTCCCCAGTTGATGGGCTTCCTCTCAATTTCCGCTTCTTTGAAGGGCTCTTTTCTTAATATTGAATTGCCTTTTCAGATTTAATAAGAAGCCATTCTTCCCCCATCCCCCTTCTTACTATTCCTCAGCTGATGTTCACATGCTATTGGTGAACTTCCTGACTTGATACATGTAAGAATCTTAACTCTCTATTTTTCTCCCTAGAAAAATGTGCTGTATGTGGAGCTGCCTGCAAGCATCTGGCTCTCTCTGATAATGTGAGTGTGTCCCCTGTCCCCCAAATCTTACCTTAATTTAGGCCTTTAGAAAATGGGAATGAAGCACTCGAAAGTAAAGTTCACTAACCACAGTTAAGAAATGCATTTATTTGAGGCTCCCATAGTGGAAACAAAAGACAGAAATGATTAGGTACCATGAGGAGAATTAGGAATAGTATGACATCATGATTTAAGTTTCTTGGAATAGTGGTTCCTTTCTGACTTTAGCACAGTGGGAACAATATTAGGTATTTTAGAAAGAATGATAGATCCTTTGCCATGTTTCCAAATATCAAATAATATTCCTTCAAGAATGTGTTGATTCTTTGAGGGAAAAATATGTTTTAGTGGAAAGAGTACTGGACTTGGAATCAGAAGACCTTGGTTTGTATCTTGGCTCTGACAATTCCTAATTGTGTGATCTTTGGCAAATCTATTTACCTCTCTTGCTCTGTTTTCCTATTGGTAAAATGAAGTAGTTGGACTAATTTATCCCTTCCAGTCCTGATAGCTTGTGATTCCCTGTATTTCCTTTACAGCTAAAACCTCAGGAGAAGATGTTTTTTAAGAGCCCTGTGGAGACAGCTCTGAAGTATTTTAGTCACATCTCACAGGTACGAGAATTAAAGGAAAAAAAAAACCTGTTTGTCTAGACAAATTCCAACCATATCTTTCTCTTTGATTTATGAAAGTTCCTTTGAACTGTAAGTCTATGCATCTAGGAGGGATGTTGTTTTCTGTTTGCTCTCTCTTCTCTGGAAATAAAAATCTTCCTAACCAGTTAACTCCTTTACTGCATCATCCTCCTGAGGACTGTGACACTATTACAAATTCTCAAATTTTACCTTCCCAATTCTCAATGAATTCTTCTAAAGCAGTGTTATGAATAAAGGTGATTTATGGTCCTTTCCTCAATGAATAAGGATAGGTAAGAATATCCTTTAAGAACTACTTTCGGGCAGCTAGGTGGCACAGTGGATAGAGCACCGGGCCTGAAGTCAGGAGGACCTGAGTTCAAATCCAGCCTTAGACCAAACACTTGACACTTGCTAGCTGTGTGATCCTGGGCAAGTCACTTAACCCCAATTGCCTTAAAAAAAAAAAAAGAACTACTTTCATCTGTAGATCAGACCCTGGAAAGGGGTGGATTTGTAGATTTAAATGTCATTCTTCAGTATATAAAATGTAGAATTGAATGTAGGAAACAATTCCTTTGGTTCTATTCCCCCAGTAACTCTCCTTAATCACACACACACACACACACACACACACACACACACACACACACACAGGCTCTCAGAGTTCAGAAATCATCATACCACTTTCCCTACCTCATGTTATCTCTGCACTTAGTTATTTGGCTCATCTCCAAGAACATTCAGGAAGAAAAACCATTGCCACAGAATTGTAACAAATTTTCAGTGATAGTAGTGGATCCTTTAGCCTTTTTCTTGGTAGCAAGAGTTAGTTTGGTTTAGTGGCAGTAGTACTGGATTTGGAGTCAGGGAAAATGAGCTTAAACTACCTTGCTGTGCTACTTACTGCCTGCATAATCTTGGTTAATTTTATTTCTCTAGACTTCATTTTACTTATCTGTGAAAGGAGATGGGATTAAGGTCCCTTCCAGTTTTAAAACCTATGATCTTTTAGAAGGGATGATTGTAGTTTTTCCCATCCTTTTTTGGGAAGGCTGTTGGAAATTGTTCCAGACTCTCAGATTTCTAGCTTGTCTCATTTTCTTTTCCATTCTTTCCCCAGAAAGATAATTCCACAGCCTCATCATGGTATGAATCTTAAAAATTAATTTTGCTATTTTTAGTTTTTCCTTTATCTCTACTTGTTATTCTTGAGAGTTAGCTCTCTTCAGATACATGAAGATAGTTTTTAATGTCTTAGTTTTTAATCATCATTTTGCCCTGAGTGGTAGATTTAGTTCTTGTCTTTCACTTGAGTGAAAGGACTGGGGGAATGAGAAGCCAGTATCTCACTCCGTCAGTCCTGAGACTAGGGACAAAGAGAGAGGGAAAAAAAGCTTTAGCTACATCTTGTTTTTAACCACACAAGTAAGCAATCACATCTGAGAGGCTGTGTTAACATTGTGGAGAGAGAAAATCCAGTTGGGACTCAGCAAGAAATGTAAACAAGGTCAAATGAATAAAAGAGAGAGTCTTTGGTTAATAACCAAACCTAGGACTAGTTAATGATCAGTAGAGAAAATATATGTAGTCTGAGTCCTAACCTACCTAATCATGAGACCAATTAATCATGGTTAAATAATCAAGATAAGAAGATAAATGAATAAGGTTAGTTAATCATCAAGGGGCAATTTGGTGAAGTCAGCAAATTTTGATAATGTGTTTTCCTGATTTGTGAAGCTGAATTAGGAGACAAAAGGAGATAGCAACTTCCATGTTGTTTTAATCAACTCTGGCCCTAAAGTCAGAGGAATTGGGTTCAAATCCTACCTTGAAGTTACATTGTGACTTTGGGCAAATTTCTTTCTCCTTGTGCATCAGTTTCCTTAGTGTGATATAAAAGTGTGGGACTAATTTGGCCTTTAAGGCCAACTTCTAGCTCTAAATCTATGCTCCTAAACTTATCATCAGTGATAGTTTTATTGTTTATAGTCTCAGATCCCCACAGTGATCTTGCTGTGCCTTGTGACCAGCAGCTGATCTCCTATATGAAATTCTTAACCTACTCTTTGTTGGTTTTTCAGAAAAGCTGTGAGGTTGGAAACTAATAGATTTCCTTTGAATCTCAGATGGGTTATCTACAACTAACCATCTCTCAAGTGAATATCTCTTATTAAAAGGGTAAGCAGGTAAGGTGAGATAGAGTCTCAGTAAGAGAGAAGGAAGGAAAATCCATCACCAATACCAAGCAAATGATGTGACACAAGGTGTACATATTTTTTATGAAAGAACCTAGTTAAATTAGTTCCAATGTAAAGCAGAAAACCTAAATAACTGAAATAAGCAAGTTTCTTATATTTGTCTGTAGTTTTCTCAGTTGATTCCTACATAGGAGTCTCTTTGAAAGACATACTATGTTTCTTAGAAGAAAAAGAATTCTCAAGATTACTATTTCCTGAGAACTGACAATATTTGCTAGATTGTAACTTACTCAGTGACAAAAACTGTATCTTTTACAAGCTACATAAAATGTGCCTAGTGCAGTGGTGTAAAACTCTAAGTGTTAGGGAAGTAGATAGTTCAGATACCAAATGTACTTATAACCATAAAAGAAACTTGCTTAAAGTTTCTCCTGGAAGTTTGAAGATAAAAACAGTAATCTAAATTCAGGGCCTCCTTCTAGGGGACCAATTTAATCCAAGTCAATCCCCCTTTTATGAACTCCTATGCCACCGATCTGAATCACTCATTTGGGCACTTAATCATGTGCTGCCTTGTAGTATTACTTTAATGTGTGTATGCCTTATTTTTCTTTAGAAAATGTTTTATTTATCCTATTACTTCCCAATTACTTCTCCAACAAAAACAGCTAAGAAAAACAAATCACTGCCATCATATTTGACATCGTATGCAATATTAGACACCTCCCTACTGAGAGGAGGGAAGTGGTTGATCATCCATCCTTTGGAGCCAAGATTGGTCATTGAATTTACATTGATTTGTGAATTTAAGTGCTGTTTTCATGTACATTATTGTAGTTGGGTTTATTATCTCTTTTTGCCTTATTTTCCTAAGAAGATCGAAAGCTTCTGGAGGGCTGGCAGACCTAGATTTTTTTTATTTTTACTTTTTTTGGTGAGGCAATTGGGGTTAAGTGACTTGCCCAGGGTCATACAGTGTCAACTGTCTGAGGCTGGACTTGAACTCTGATCCTCCTGACTTCAAGGCTGGATCTCTGTCCACTGCGCCACCTAGCTGCCCCCAGACCTAGGTTTTTAAAAGACAATACTTTTAAAAAATTATTTTGTATAGCCCTCAGCACCTGGCCTAATGCCATATAGTTAGTAAGTACCTGGTAAATATTTAGTAAATGTTGGATGAATAGTTAAATATTTAATGGTTTCCTTAGAATCTCCCAGGATTGGTGAGACTTCATGGAAAAGGGACATTTCTGTGACGGGTTAAAAGAAAGGAATTTGGATAACAGTTGATAAAGCAGTTGACTTGCTAAATCAGAAAAATTCTAGTATGATATCAGATTCAGTACTTCTGTTTGTAAGTATCAAGAGAGAAAACTGGTTTGTTTAACTTCATTTGGTAGAGGTGAAGTGCTTCTGGTACTTTTTATTAAAATCTTTAGAGCCTAGATGAAAAAGTAACAAAAGTGGAGATTAACTGTGAATATGGTATAAAGAGATTCAGGTTTTTTTTGGATTATAACCTAAACATATCATTATTTTAAAAAATTAATAATATTCATACATTATATACATTATATACATATGGAATACTATAATGTACAAAAATAAGAAACCACTACCTGTATATTTAGCATGGATCAGATCCTCACTAGGACACTATTTTCTATTCGGTGTTCCATAGTTTATGTAAGAGGTGAAAAACTTGGACCAAAGGCATGTAACCTTTGTTCTATGGTGGGACATTAACAAAGGAAAAAGAGCCAATTTAGGGTCTCATAAGTAAAAGTCACTTTTACTTATTTCATGAGATTTTTTTTTAGAGAAAACATAAAACATACCATTAACTCATTTTTAAAATTGAGAACAGAACTGGAAAATTTTTATTTTATTATTTACTAAAATAATATTAAATATTAATATGACTAATTAAACTTACTGTTTATATTTAAATTAATTTCAACACATAAAATAGAAATTTTAGTCATTTTCTTTAAGGTTTTTTAGAACACAAAACTATATTCAATAAATTAAAAATAATATTTTAAAATATGCTTTAGTTCTATAATTTGGTCATTTTAGGGGAGATAAGATAAATGAAAAGTAGTACTCGTACTGGAGTACAAGAGATAAAGACATACAGGAAGTGAGATGTTCAGTTGTTTTTCGGTCTTGTCTGACTCTTTGTGACCCCATTTGAGGTTTTCTTGGCAGAGATACTAGAGTGGTTTGGCATTTCCTTCTCCAGCTCATTTTATAGATGAGGAAACTGAGGCAAATAGGGTTAAATGACTGCCCAGGGTCTCACAGCTAATAAGTGTCAAGAAGACTTATCTTCCTGAGTTCAAATCTGGCCTCAGACACCAGACCTGGTGCTCTACTGTTCCACCTAGCTGCCTCAAGGGGATGAAACAGAAGGACACATGGTGTGTGTGTGTATGTGTGTATATGTATATGTATATGTATATGTATATATCTCTGTCTCTGAAACACAGACTTCATATACAGAGATACACAGAGATGACTAGAAAAGAGAAACATATGCATATTTAAAAGGGATTCACACTGAACAAGTTGGCACAGAAACAAACACATAGTTGAACAGAGCTGATCAGAGGAAGGATGGGAAACCCTGGCAGTTTTGAGCAGCAGTGAGGGTGATAATGCTGTGACTGCACTGATAATTCTCCACATTATGGGGTTCAGGGTAGATGCCTCTGAGCATTTTCATTCCTCACTTTCTTTTTTCTTTCTTTTTTTCTTTTTTTAGGCAGTTGGGGTTAAGTGACTTGCCCAGGGTCACACAGCTAGTAAATGTCAAGTGTTTGGTCTGGGGCCGGATTTGAATTCAGGTCCTCTTGACTTCAGGGCGGTGCTCTATCCACTGCACCACCTAGCTGCCCCTGAGCATTTTCAAAGAGAAGTAAAAAACTGTAAACAATGGCTAATTCATTTAATCCTTGAGGAGTTTTTCTTTGATGCAACAATAACAATATTATCTTTACCAGGACCCTACCAAAAAATTATTTTTTTAAAGGGAGAGGGGCTCAGATGATATTAATTTCTTAAAAAAATGTAATTTCAGTCATTTGGTATGAGGAAGCTTAAAATTCTTAGAGAAAAAAGCAAATAGATTTTGAAAGAGACCTAGTAAATTCAACAATACTTTAAGGTTCCAAAGTAAATTTCTAAAAGTCATTCCTTCACATGTTAAATCTTTAGAATTCTATGGGAACATAAACTTGTTTAAAAAAAATTTGGTGGGGCAGCTAGGTGGTGCAGTGAATAGAGCACTGGCCCTGGCTTCAGGAGGACCTGAGTTCAAATCTGGCCTCAGACATATAACACTTACTAACTGTGTGACCCTGGGCAAGTCACTTAACCCCATTGCCTAGCCAAAAAAAAAAAAAAAATTGGACCAACATCTTACATCCCATACCAAGATAAAGTCAAAATGGGTACATGGTTTAGATATAAAGACTGATACTATAAGCAAACTAGGAGAGCAAGGAATAGCTTACCTATCAGATCTGTGGAAAAGGGAAGAATTTATGACCAAACAAGAGGTAGAGAACATTATGAAATGCAAAATGGATGACTTTAATTACATTAAATTGAAAAGTTTTTGTACAAACAAAGTCAATGCAACCAAGATTAGAAGGGAAGCAGAAATCTGGGAAAGAATTTTTACAGCCAGTGTCTCTGATAAAGGCCTCATTCCTAAAATATATAGAGAACTGAGTCGAATTTATAAGAATACAAGTCATTCCCCAGTTGGTAAATGGTCAAAGGATAGGAATAGGCAGTTTTCAGAGGAAGAAATTAAATCTATCTATAGTCACATGAAGAAATGCTTTAAATCACTATTGATTAGAGAAATGCAAATCAAAACAACTCTGAGGTACCACATCACATCTATCAGATTGGCTAACATAAAAAAAAAAGGAAAATGATAAATGTTGGAGAAGATGTGGGAAAATTGGAACACTAATGAATTGTTGGTTGAGTTGTGAACTGATCCAGTCATTCTGGAGAGCAATTTGGAACTCTGCCCAAAGGGCTATAAAAATGTGCAAACCCTTTGACCCATCAATACTACTTATAGGTCTGTATTCCAAAGAGATCATAAAAATGGGAAAGAACCCACATGTATAAAAATATTTATAGCAGCTCTTTTTATGGTGGCAAAAAGTTGGAAATTGAGGGGATGCCCATCAATTGGGGAATGGCTAAACAAGTTGTGGTATATGAATGTAATGGAATACTATTGTGCTATAAGAAATGATGAGCAGGCAGATTCAGAAAAACCTGGGAAGACTTATATGAACTGATGCTGAGTGAAATGAGCAGAACCAGGAGAACATTGTACACAGTAACAGCAACATTGTTTGATGACTAACTTTGATAGACTTAGACCTTCTCAGCAGTGCAAGCATCCAAAAGACTCATGATGGAAAATGCCATCCATATCCAGAAAAAGAACTGTGGAGTCTGAATGCAGATCGAAGCATACTATTTGCTCTCTCTCTTTTTTTTTGTTTATTGTTTCTCATGGTTCCTTCCATTGGTTCTGACTCTTCTTTACAACATAACTAATGTGAAAATGAATATGAATGTATATGTAGAGCCTATACCAGATTGCATGCCATCTTGGAGGGGGGGGGGAGAGGGAGGAGGAGAAAATTTAGAACTCAAAATCTTATGAAAGTGAATATTGAAAACTAAAAATAAATTAATTAATTAAAAAAATAGATTTGTATATAATCTTTTGTTTATATTATCTGGGGATAATAGGGAACCCCTGGGATTTATTGAATGGGGGGGATATCATAGTAAGATTTACTCTTTAGGAAGAGCAACTTGACACCTGAGTGGAGGATGAATTAGATTAGGAAGAGATTTAAGGCAGGAGGACCAAACAAAATGAGAAACCAATTTTGTGCTCCCTTATGTATTCCCACAATGGTGTTGGGGTTATTAAAACACTGTTGCTATAGATAGCCCTCTCAGGTCATAAGGTTAGATTTTTACTAGGCTATTCAGCTACATCAATATTTGGCTTTAGCATCCTAAAAGTGAACGGTGTCATGTTTTATCCCCAATCTTCAACTTTCTAGCTTTCTTGAATTATTCTAGTTTGTGGGACTCTGAATGATCAGATAATGAATATGAGTTGGTGAGCTGTTAAGAAATGGTCTATACTGGAACCTGACTAGGGCCTTTTACCCCCAGCAGGTATGGAGTTTCCAGAAGAAACAGACAGATCTGCTTATCACCTTTTATAAACACAGACTTTCTAAGTCAGAAGCCGCCATGCAGGAGGCCCAACGGACAGTGGCCAGTCAGGACAAGTAAGTGACCCTTCCCAGACCCCTCGAAAGTCTTCCACGTTACTTTAGTCATTTTCCTTTTAGAGCAATTATTCTCATTACCAAGGTTGACGCTCAGGATAGTTGTGAAGTAGGCAAAGAATCTTTATTATTCCTCCCTTACATTTCCTTATACTTCTTTTCCTCCTCAGTGTTTCCTTTCCTTTAGCTCTCTTCACTCACCCCTACCAAAACGTATAACCTCTAAAAGCACATGAATTTTTTACACATATAAATATCTGATAATACTCAGTTTCTTTTCCCAGACATTTTTACATTTTAACAGAGACTAAAGCTTTAAGCCAAAAGAGTGAATCTAATGGTAGAATTTATCTGAGTAGGAGGGGGGGGTAGGGAGAGAGAAGGCCCAAGAAATTATAACATGTATACTAGATGAGCAAGACGTGTAAGTAATTGACAACCCTAACCCAATGCTTGCTAAATCCAAGATCAGAAACTACTGGAGGAAGGACTTGCTATTCAACAAGAACTCTTGGTAACTAGAAAGCAACCTGTCAGAAATTGGGTTTAAATCAGTATCTTGCAGTATATACCAAAATAAGCTCCAAATAGATGTGACTTTAACCAACACAAAAAGATCACATTAAAAATATAGGAGAAGGGAAGAAGGTAACTTTTAGATACTTAGTTTTGGGGAAAACTCATAGTGAAACAAAGCAGTTGTGTGAACAAAATAAATGAAATTAGAACACAAAGAAAAACTATTGACGAGGGAAAAAATAACTTTGCATCAAATCTCTGATAAAGGTCTGATTTCCAACATACATAGGTAATAGATGCTACTATATCTGTATAAAGACCAAGAGTCATTCCCCCAAGAGAAAAGTGGTCAAAGGATATGAATAGTTTTCAGAAGAAATACAAATGATCAACAGCCATATTTTTAAAATACTCTGCAACACTAAAATAAGAGAAATATAAATTAAAGCAACTCTGAGGTTTTACATCACACTCAGCAAATTGATGGTAAAATACTGAAATAATCAATGTTGGGAGTGCTGTGAAAAAACAGGCATACTAATATAGTGTTGATAGAGTTGTGAATTTATCCAACCATTCGGGAAGACATCTTAGAACAATGTTAGAAAAGCAACAATTCTATTTATGCCCTTTGACCCAGAGATAACACTTCTGGGCTTATACCCCAAGGAGGTGATAGGGTGATAGATCCAGAGCTGCAAGGGGCTTCAGAGGCCAGTGGAGTCTAACTCCTTCATTTTTCAAATAAGGAAACAAAGGCTCAAGGAAATGACTTGCTCAGTGTCACATAAGTAATACGTGGCAGAACTCAAAGACAGAAGAAAAGCTAGTTAATAAACATTTAAGTATCTACTATTTGCTAGGCGCTGTGCCAAGCACTGGGGGAACAAAAAAAAAAAGGGCAAAGCCAGTTCCTATCCTCAAATAACCCCCAATCTAATGGGGGAAACAACAAGCAAACAAATACATACAAACAAGCTATATACAGGAACAAAAGAAAATTAAAGGAAGGAAAGCACTGGAATTGAGGGTTTGGGAAAGGCTTCTTGTAGAACATGGGACTTAAAGAAAGCTAGGGAGGTCAGTAGGGGGAGATAAGGAAAGAAAGCATTCTTAGTATGGGGGACAGAGAAAATGCCTGGAACTGAGAGATGTAGTGTCTTATTTATGGAAGAGCAAGGAGACTAGTGTTACTGGATGAAAAGTACATAGCAGGGAATAAGGTATAAGAAGACTGGAAATGTAGGGGAGGGAGGCTATGTTGTAAAGGGCTTTCAATACCAAACAGAGGGTTTTATATTTGATCCTGGAGGTGATAGGAAGCCACTGGAATTTACTGAGTAGGGGTTAATATGGTTAGACCTGGGCTCTAGGAAAAATCATTTTGACAACTGAATGAAGAAAAGATTAGAGCAAAGAGAAACTTGAGGCGAGCATACCTACCAGCAGACTATTGAAGTAGTCCAAGTGTGGGTTCATGAGGGCTTGTACTAGGGTGGTGGTAGTATCATAGGGGAGAAGGAGGCATACTTGAGAGATACTACAAAGATGAAATTGATATTTCTTGGCAATGGATTGGATATGGAAGAGGGGGGTAAGAGATAGTGAGGAGTCTAGGATGACACCTAGGTTGCAAGTCTGAAAGACTGGGAGGATGATGGTGCCCTCAACAATAATAGGGGGGAGGTGGGGAGGGTTTAGAGAAGATAAGGAGTTTGTTTTGGACATAGCAAGCTTAAGATATTTACTAGAATTCAGTTCTAGATATCTGAAAGGAAGTTGGAGATATGAGATTGGAGGTCAGCAGAGAGGTTAGGACAGGATAGGTAGATTTGAAAATTATCAGTATAAAGACGGTAATTAAATTTATGGAAGCTGGTGACATTAGCAAGGGAAGTAGTATAGTGGGAGAAGAGAAGAGGGCTCAAGACAGAACCCTATGGGATACTAATGGTTAGAGGGTCTGACCTGGATGAGAATACAGAAAAGGACACTGAAAAGGATTAGTCTGATAGGTAGGAGGAGAACCAGGGGGAATGGTATCCTAAAAAACCTAGAGTATCAAGGAGAAGAAAGTAATCAACAGTATCTGAGGCTACAGAGAAGAAGAATGAGGACTGAGAAAAGACTGTTGGATTTGGCAATGAGGAGATCGTTGGTAACTTTGGGGAGAGCAGTTTTAGTGGAATGTTAAGGTCAGAAGACATATTGTAGGGGGTTAAGAAGAGAGTGAGAGGAGAGAAAATGGAGGCAACTATTGCAGATGGCCTTTTCAATAAGTTGGCCACAAAGGGCAGAAGAGATATAGGATGATAGAGGGAATAGAAGGATCTAGTGAGGGTTTTTTGAGAATGGAAGAGACATGGGCATCTTTGTAGTCAGTAGGAAAGGAGCCAATAGACAGGGAGAGATTGAAAATAAGTAGTAGAGTGAAGATGGCAGAGGGAGCAGTTGGTTGGAGAAGATGAGATAGAATGGTGTGGCTTTTGCAGATAGAACCTTGGGCCTTGGTTGGGGGACAAGGGTAAAGTAGGAAATGGTAGCAGAAGGCATTTGAATGCAATGAGGAAGAGGGGAGAAGAAGGAGCTGTCAGCTAATGGCCTCAGTTTTTTTTCTGTAAAATAGGCAAAGTTCTCAGCTGAGAAGGTGGAGGGAAGGGAAGTCATGGGAGATTTGAGGAGGGATGAAAAGGTTTAGAAGAGCCTCTGTGGAGAGTGGGATAGTGAGTTGATAAGGGAGGCATAGAAGGATTTGCCCAGTGGCTGTGAGAGCCCAGGTGAGGTTGTGTAGCATAAATTGATAGTGGACTCAGTCAACAGTTGCCTGATTTCTCTACCTAAATTCAATAGCACATGTATTAGGAGTGAAGGTGGGAGTCACCCAAAGCTGAGGCTTGGCAGGATACTATTGGAACTATGATAAGGGGTCCAAGAACTCCAGAGAAGAGGACGGTGTAGAGTTGACCTGGTTCTCCAAGGAGTCAAGATGGGGAAAATAGAAGAGTGTGGCTAGTGCAGGGGAAGTGGCCTGGGAGAGAACAGAAGGGTCAAGGAACTGGAGGTTATGGTATGGAAGAAGAGTAGTGTTGGTAAGGGAAAGCATAGGGAGAGGCGAAAAGTTGGTAGATTATGGTCAGATAAAGGAATTTTGGAATTTTTGAACATGGAGGTGGTGTATTTGTGGATGATGGAAAAATCAAGGGTATGACCATCTTTGTATATGGCTGAGGTAGAATGGAAGTTATGGGCATTGGGTGGTGTTGTATATGGGAAAGATCACATATATACCAAATTATTTATAGCAGCACTTTTATGGTAGCAAAAAACCCTTAGAAGAAACAGTTTAATGAGGCAGCATGGTATAGTGGAAAAAGCACTGGCTCTGAGTCAAAGGACCCAGGTTCAAATAGTAGATGCTTAATAAATATTTGTTGACTGGCTTTCCCTCTTCCTTTGACCTCTGCCACTTATTATTTATGTCACCTAGGGCAAGTTACTTAGCTTCCCTGGGCCTTAGTGACCTCTTCTGTAAAACAAGTGAGATGGACTAGATGACTTCTAAGGTCCCTTCCAGCAGTGGTTCCATGATCCTATGCAGTAGGTACCCATCAACTGGGGAATGGCTGAAAAACCTGTTGTATATGAAAGCAATAGAATATCATTGCATCATAAGAAATGATGAATAGGGGCAGCTAGGTGTCACAGTGGATAGAGCACCGGCCCTGGAGTCAGGAGGAACTGAATTCAAATCCGACCCCAGACACTTGACACTTACTAGGTGTGTGACTCTGGGCAAGTCACTTAACCCCATTGCCTAGCCCCCTCCCCCCCAAAAAGAAAAAGAAATGATGAATAAAGAATTCAGATGAATGAGAAAATATGCATGAACTGATTCAGAGTAAAGCAGAACCAAAATAATAATACACACAATGATCACAGTAATATAAAGAAAAATGACAATAAAAGCCATCAGAAATCATATCAGTATAATGTTGTATTGACTCCAGAGGACTAGTGATCAAATATGCTTCCTTGCCCTTGAAGAAGTTAGACTATAGGTGCACAATGAGGCACATGCTATCAGACATCATCAATGTGTCACTGTAGTTTACTTAATGGTAATTTTTTGTCTATGAAGGAGGATGCTTGGGTGGAGGTGGTAGTTTCCTTGGGAAATGACAGTAATACATTTTTTTTAAAAAAAGAAGCAACAATAAAACATTTTTAAAGAACACAACAGGTAAGTGGTCATCTATTTTGTCTCCCTGATCCTACTATAATTGTCTAATTGATAACTCATGGAACTAAGAAAGACCACCTGAGCAGCATATAGTATAGTACAGTATAACCGAGGGACTCTCAACAAATACTACTAAATATTAATAATTATCATCATAACTGTTCACTTCTCCACTCTGCTTGGTGGGTTGGTCAAGGGAGATCTTAATCAAAGGGATGTACATATTCAGACTTCCATTTCATTGTCCCTTAAAGCTGAATATTACCATCTTAGGGAGCTAGTAGTCCTAAGGAAGGAAAATGGGGAGCTGAAGAAATTCCTGGCCATCCTGAAGGTGAGTGAAACCCACCAACTTGACAACCAATTTTTCTCTCAGCTTTTTCTGTACATTTGTTGGATTCTTTATGTAGTTATAAGATTTCATTAATCAACCTAAAATAACTCTCAGGACCCTTCTCTCTCATTCTCTTCCTTCTTCTTGAGTATATCCTTGTAGTTTCATCTGATAATTTTTTTCTCCATAGAATAAAATAATTTTAGCATTGAAAGGGACCGTCAGAGAGAATCCCTTCCAAGTTCTTAATTTTACAGATGAAGAAACCCAGATTGTTGAAGAGCTTATCAAAATCATCCAACTTGTTAGTGGAAGATCTGGAACTGGATCTCAGGCCTCTTAACTCCCAACCTAGTGCTTTTTCCATAACACCATAGTCTATTTAATCTTTCTCTTCTTCAGAGTTCTTAACATTGAATAATGCGTGTACTTCTGCCATCTTCCTTTATCTCAGCTGTCTCTAAAGGGATCCTTCTCCATTTTTAAACCTATGTCAGTTTTCAGCAGAGATCCCCACCATTTTTGTTGGGAGGAAATATTTTTCATTTCTCTGAGGCCTATAGATTACTAGAGGTGGATATGGATCCTGACAGTCAAGTCTCTGAACAGAGAAGGGGTGCTGACAGAGTCCCAAGGAAAGGTAAATAGAGGAGGGTGGAGAATTGAAATAAATGCTGATGGCTAAATTCCTAAGAGGGGTGGAAAAAAGGGAGCTTTTCTTGGGAGTTCCGGCAAACCAATGAGAAGGGACTGTCATTAGCTATTGTCTTGGTGCTCTTACCAGATAAGGCTGTAAGGTCTTTTGGTAGATTTGGAGTTTTACAAGTAAAATGGTTAAAATGACTCAGAGATTCCAATGCTAGGCATACATCCCAAGGAAGTTGTTGACAAAAAAAGAAAAAGGCTTCACATACACCAAAATATTTGTAGCAGAACTTTGTGTGGTAATAATGAACTGGATGCAAAGTATATACCCATTGATTGGGGAATGGCTGAACAAATAGTACGTGCATGCAGTGAAATATTACTGTGCTATAAGAAACAATGACTATGAGGAATATAGAGAAGAATAGAAAGACTTACATGAGCTTACATGAAGTTAAGCAGAACCAGGAAGACAATATACATGATTGAAACAATATAAATAGAAAGACCACAAAACAGTAAAAAATGAATGTTGCAATATTGTAAAGAAAAAGTGGTACTTCACTCTGCTTTTTTGCAGAGGTTGTTGTGGGAGGGAGAGGGAACTGTAGTCCTCTGGTGTGGAACATTGCATGCAACATTAGTTATTTTAAATGTGTTGATTGACTTCCTACAGTTTTCTCTTCCTCTTTTCCTTTTAAAAAAAATTATTTGTTTAAAGGGATGGCTGTCAGGAAGGGAAAGGGAGAATAATATAGGGGAAAATCCAGGTTTATTTGTATATATAATATGTGTGTGATATATCTAAAACACACACACATATGTATGTATATATGTATTTAAAGAGACCTTCTGGTATATCCTAACCTACTGGCTGAGGGCTCATGGTCTAAATAAAACCTTCCTCATTAAATTCTTTCTTTCAGGAGTCTCCTAGCCGATGCCAAGGAAGCAGGTCAGTTCCACAGACACATACCTGCTTTCCTTTGAAATTTATGTTCTTTATTGCCTCCTAACAACTCATGCACACATTAAGAAAAGCAAGTAATGAGTAGATGATGGTTTTCTGTTTTAGTCCTCTGGGAAAGGGTCTTTGGAGACAAATGTGGGAAGGGAAGAGTAAGAAACCTAGGGGCAGCTAGGTGATGCAGTGGATAGAGCACCGGCCCTGGAATCAGAAGGACCAGAGTTCAAATCTGGCCTCAGACACTTGACACTTACTTGCTGTGTGACCCGGGGCAAATCACTTAATCCCAATTGCCTCACAAAAAAAAAAAAAAAAAAAGAGTAAGAAACCTGGGATGAAACATCTAAGAATTCTATGACTTGCTTGGATTTTCTTCCATATAAATACTGGGGAAACTGTTACACCTTACCTAGGCTGTTGGAAAGAAAGGGGATCTTACCTGGAGAAAAGGAATTTGCCCTGCATCTTTTGACACCTTAGACAGTTAAATAAACATATCTAACTACTGAATAATTTGTTGCCAGGAAAGTTGCTGTTCTTTATCTGCTCTGCTCTATGTAGTCCTCTGTATCACTTATTTCTATGCGGAGAAATAGCAATTCCTTGCTCTCTCTCTCTTTTTTTTTTCCTTTTCTGCAGGTCTACCACTCCCCGGCCAGTAGGCATCACTTCCCCGTCACAATCAGGTAGATAGCAGATTGTTACTTCCCCAGACAGGTGAGGTAAATAAACATATTTTCCAAGTCCATTTTAAAATTGAACAGCTTTCTAAGTGAAGTTAGATTTCTCCAAGAGGAAGGCAGTTTCATCTGAAAAGCCACACTTAGGATTCACACATTTTATATGTAGATGAGAAAGAAAAAGAGGTATTGGTAGATACACCCCACATTAGGCTCACAACTAGGATTATTTCATATATAGTGCCCAAGCCAGACAAGAAAGCACAGGGCAGGGAGCCTTTACAATTGCAACCTCTTCATAGTTGCTTTTCTTTCAGTTACTCCACGACCCAGTTCCCAGCACAGCAACCAGGTAGTCAGGTGAGTTGAAGGGTGACTGGGCTCAGATTAATACTAATAACTGATGGGTGGAGGGAAGGTAAAAGATTCACAAAAGTATGCTGTGGGTTAAAATTAAAAAGGTAAAGTGTGTATGTATTTCGCAGCTACAAAAAGCTTTAATATCACCTTTTTCAGTCGATCTTCTTCCTTGGAATCCATTCCATACAGAGTGCCTGGCTTTGGTAGCTTTGGTCAGGTGAGTAATCTTCATTTCCTCTCCTTGAAGAGAGGTTCTATCACTGAAGGAAAAACAGAAGATTGAGGATATATTAAGTAGCACAGCCTCATTTAAGTTTAGGTGTACATTCCTGGTATTATATCCTCAAACCTTGTTTTCCTTTGGTAATGAAGATCTGATATTAGAGGCTGATTGAGGAGCGGGGCTTGGGGGTGTATTGAGCAGTAGGCAAAGAGTACTATATTTGAAGTCAGAAGAATTCTGGCTCTACTACCACCCATATAACCACGGGCAAGTGACTCCCCCTCTTTGGGTTTACTCACCTGTAAAATGAAGGTATTGGACTAGATTGTCCCTAAAATATCCTCCCAGTTCTAAAATCCTATGATAAATGAGAGTAAAGGAGGTGAGAGTGTTTAATTCAAGATCTGGATCAACAGTGCCCATTTCAATTTCCCCAGGAACAGTACTACTTATTTGTAACAAGGGAAAGACTTAATGTTTCTTTTTTTAGCAGAGAGAAGAGTAAAGATGGGGGACATAATGATAGTAATGCTAAAAAAAATTAAGAAAATAGTGCCAATGAATTGTTAAAAAAAAATAAACAGGTAAGCAAAAGAAGTTTAGAAGGGGATACAGAAAGGAAGAGTAATATTCAAACTAACATGTTAAATTTAAATCATATTTTTTAAAAACAACCCAACTCACCTGTAAAATGAAGGTATTGGACTAGATTGCCCCTAAAATATCCTCCCAGTTCTAAAATCCTATGATAAATGAGAGTAAAGGAGGTGAGAGTGTTTAATTCAAGATCTGGATCAACAGTGCCCATTTCGATTTAATTCAAGATCTGGATTCAACAGTGCCCATTTTGATTTCCCTTGAAATCGAATGAAACAACCCAGGTACCCTTGGACTAGAGATAGTTCCCCTGGAAGAGAAGCAGTTTATTCAAATAAAGGTGGGAGACATGAAAGCCCAAGAACTGGTACAATATATTTGCTTAGCTGGTGTTTGTGATTTTTCCAGCAGGGCAACAGAGGCCTGCAGGGAAGAAATACTCCCAGGGAATCTTATGCAGGTGAGAGTAAAGGAGCCATCACAGACAAATGCACTGTGCAGAATTATGTATACCCTCCCAAACCCCCTTGCTGTAGAGCATCTTTCTTCATTTTTCCAGGAGTAAACTCTCAGTTTTCAAAGAAAGATGATTTGTGTTTTCAGACAAAAAAAGGAAAGTAGCTGGGCAATAGCAATGAAAACCCACGTTTGTTCATAGTAGAAGTACTGAACACCTTATTTCACCTTAGGTAGCCACACTTCAAATAGCAACCAGGAGATGGCAGCAAAGGGTAGAGAATGAGGGGCTTGCTAGGCATCCCATTGTTAACCAGAAAACTAATTGAGAGTTAGGCATCTCAGCCTGACTGAAACACTACATTAGCAAGGGGATATGAGTTATCATGTCTACTTCTCATCACCACTGATAGGCCAGGATAGGATTAAACATATAGTCAGTCTATTTTCCAGGACATTAGCCAGTCCTCAAAGAACACCTATCAGTGGGATTAGCCTTTCTTTTACCAGAGGCAAATTTACCATGCCCCAGATGATTCTCTAGGGGTCAGTTTCAGGAAAGACTGTTTTCCCTTCCCCATTTATTCTTTTGCTGCCCTGTTCTAAGAAATGTAGTTGTTGCTAGTAATAATTATTTTTATATAAAACTGAATTTCTTATATGCACAGTTGAGTCCTGTCTCCCTCCCCCCCAATATCCAGTATGGGTTGTTTTTAAAAAATATGATCTAAATTTAAGATGTTAGTTTCAATATTACTCTTCCTTTCTGTATCCCCTTCTAAACTTCTTTTGCTTACCTTTTTATTTTTTTTTAACAATTCATTGGCACTATTTTCTTAATTTTTTTTAGCATTACTATCATTATGTCCCCCATCTTTACTCTTCCCTCTCCTAAAAAAAGAAACATTAAGTCTTTCCCTTGTTACAAATAAGCATATTTGCAGAAAACAAATCAACACATTTGCTGTGTCTGATAATGCATTTTTCATTCTGTCAAAAGGTGGGAAGCATGATTCATCATCAGTTTTCTGGAGGTGTAATTGGTCATGACTTTTATCATGATTCTTAAGTCATTCACATTTATTTATTTAGTTTTACAATGTTGTAGTCTTTGTGTGAATTATTCTTCTGATCCTCCTTGCCTCAATTCACCTTGTATCAGTTTATACAAATCCTCCTAGGTTTCTCTGATTCTGCCCCTTTCCTTTTTAATTAGGGCACAATATTCACATACTGTGTTTTGTTCAGCCATTCATTCCCCAATTGATAGACACCCACTTTGTTTCCATTTCTTTGCTACAATAAAAAGTGCTACCATCAATATTTTTGAACCTATGAGTCCTTTACCTCTTTCTTTGATGTCTTTGTAGTATAAGCCTACTTGTGGTATCATTGGGTAGAAAAGTACACCCAGTTGTATGCATTTTGGAAATAGTTCCAAGTTGCTTACTAGACTGGTTAGACCAGTTTGTAGTGTATTGGTGTGCCTGTCCTCTCACAGCCCCCTCCAATAATTGTCATTATTCTTTGGGGTGGGCAGTACATCTTGGCTACTTTGATGGGTTTGAGGTAGAATCTCAGAGTTTGGGTTTTTCATCTGTATATGTATATGTTTATACACACACACACACACACACACATGCACACACATATATACATATACATATTTTTAATCATCAGAAATTTGCCTTCTCTTCCTTTCACACTGACATTTTCCCCTTTTTTCCTCCCCACACTCCCATAGTTGAGAATAAAAGAAGAACAAAATCCCTGTTACAAATGTCTATTTTCTTGTTGATTGAAATTTATTTCTGTACCTAAATGTGCATATATTCTCTCCTTTTACAAGTTCAGATGAGAGAGAGGTTCAGGTATGTCCCCTCCTTGTTGTTTGTATAGAAGTCTACTTCCATACCTTGATTATATGAGATAATTTTCTTTAACCTTCCTTCCCCTCCCTGCCCTCCGCCCCCCCCAGTGTATTTCTCTTCTATTCTTTTTCATTCCATTCTTCTTTTAAGATCATCAAAGCATAACAGAACCATTCCCAGGCCCTCTCCCTGATTAATCTCCCTCTGTGACCTCTGAAGATGATAGGGTTCAGAGGGGACACATGTATAATTTCCTCATATTTAAATGTAAGCAGCTTATCCTTGTTCTGTCTCTTACGATTGTTCACTCAAGTTTACATTTATGTTTTTCTTAACCCTTGTGTTTGAACTTCAAAACTCCTATGAAACTCTGGTGTTTTCATTAGAAATGCTTGGAAGTCCTTAATTTTCATTAAAGGTCCATTCTTTTCCTCTGTATCCTTATACTCAGTTTTTTTGGATAGGTTATTTTTGGATATAAACCTATATCTTTGCCTTCTGGAATATCATTAGTTCTTTAGACTGTGGCTGATTCTTTTGGCCCCTTGGTACTTGAATTCTTTTTTTTTTTTTTGCAGTGGTGGGGTGAGGTGGGGTGCTGCTTGCAGTATTTTTTTTTTCTTTGACTTATAAGCTCCAAATTTTGGCTATAATATTCCTGGGCATTTTCATTTTGAAGTTTCGTTTACGAAGCAGACCAGTGGATCCTTTCTATTTCTACTTTGCCCCCTGGTTCTAAGCTATCTGCACAGTTTTCTTTTAAGATTTCTTGAAATGTGAAGTATAGACTCTTTTTTTGGTCATGGCTTTAAGGTAGTCGCATAATTCTGAACTTCTTTTCTCCTCAATCTGTTTTTCAGGTCAGTTGTTTTTGCTGTGAGATATCTTACATTTTCTTCTATTGGAGGGGGGAGTGTTTTGACTGTTTTAATCTTTCTTGTTGTCTTATGGATAATTGGCTTCTATTTCACCCATTCTAATTTTTCAAGGAGTTTGTCTTGAGTTTTGTACCTCTTGTGCTAAGATGTTAATTAATCCTTACCATTTTTTTCTTCCATAGCTCTTATTTCTTTCCTTATTTTTTTCCCTTCAATCACTCTCTTTTCATTTATAAAAAAAAACAAACATTTCTTTGACCTTTTTTTATGCTGTTGCTTCAGTTCTTCCAGGAATTCTAGTTGAATTTGTGCCCAAAGTATGTATTCTTCTAAGGCTTTGATTATAAATGTTTTGGAATCATTATCTCCTTCTGGGTTTGTGTCTTGAGTGTCCTTGACACCATAATAGCTTTTTGTGGTAGAATTCTTTTTTGTTTGCTCATTCTTCCAACCTATTTCCTGAATTGAGACTTGGTATTAGGGCTGTGTACTTCTGGAGAGAAGATCTGTATTGTTCTGTTACTGCTTTCTCGGGGTATTGAATTTTGTGTTATTTCAGGCTCCCAGGGACAGCTCAGGCTAGGCACCTGTAAGTTTTCAGGTCTGATCCAGGGCAAAGTCTATTTCGTGGTCCCCTAGTCTGAACTCTTGAAGTTCCTAATCTGGGTTTGGGTCTGAGTAATTGTACACTGCTGTTGGACCCAGCCACTATTAGCCAGGTGGGAATCTCTGGTGGTTCAGAGTCCCAGAACTGCAGGCTCCCCTTAGGTCTGAGATTCCTGCCCTTTGCAGGCTTCAGACTGGGCTAGAAGTTGGAGCTGAGACCCTGCTCAGCTCCTGGGATCTGACCTACGCCACTGCAACTTGCTTTTGAACTTACTCTTTGTTTAATATACTGCCTTGGGCTTGCTATACTCCTTACCCTAGAATGCCAGCCAAAGTCACAGGTCCTTTCGTCTCTCTGCCCTGGATGTCCCTGCTGCTACCCATTCAAATGGAGTGGCTGAGATTAGGCCTACCCTCTGCCTCAATCCCTGGCTTTCATTTCAGTGTCTTTATGGCCTGTATTGAGTTTTGTCTTCTTCTCTGTGCATAGTCCCTAATTGTGAGTGGATTCTGTCCCTTGTTTTGGCTGTGATAGGCCCGTGTGGGATATTGGAGATATGTTAGTCTCAAGTCTCCTACACATATGCCCTGAAGATAGTACTCAGGTGCTAAATTGGCCTTTCTGCCTGCTGTGACTCCCAGTTCTCAGTTCCCAGACATGGTAGGGTCTTGTCTCTCTGCACAGAGGTATATGGAGCTAGTTCTGTCCCTGCTTCTGTTCTCATAAGAGAAGGTCAAGATCTGTTTTCCAGTCCATAACTACTAGCATACTGGCTTGAGATCCTCCTATTTAGAGTGCTGGCTGGCTTTACATCTATTTGTGGGAGCTCATGCTATATTCTTTGGCTTGACTCCTTTCCCCATCTCACTCAGCTTTAGGCTAGTCTTCCTGCAGCTAAGCGCCACAGTAGATGGACCTGAGTTCAAATCCTACCTCAGACACTTAAACCCTGGGCAAGTCACTTAACTCTGTTTGCTTCAGTTTCCTTATCTGTAAAATGAGCTGAAGAAGGAAATAGCAAACCACTCAAATATCTTTGCCAAGAAAACCCCAAAAGCAATTATAAAGAGTTGGATACAACTGAAAATGACTAAACAGCAAATCTGTAAAAATCCTTCTACCTGGCTTCTAGCCATCTTTTTGTCTAGCCTGGGTGAGGAACTTACTGCCACTTCTTTTTAGTCTTCTTTATCATTGGTCTTTCTGGGGTCCTTTTCAGATTTTTATTGGGGTTTAAATAGAAGAGGCATACTTCTCTATGACCTTTTCTATTGAATTTCTAGCCAAAAGTCTATTGTTAGTATAGTTGAATGGTCCTTTGTGTTTAACCATTCATCCCAGATATATATTATCTCTATGTCATAGAGAAAATCAAGGCACAGAAAAATAAAAATATAGCTAGAATACTTAAATAAATACTGTTGGAGAAAATGGCATATATTAATGGCCTACTCTAACTGGTATAGTTAAAAGCTATTCTTCCACTTCTATAGACAGAGCCTCTTATGCTCACCTTGTGGACAAGATGGAGAGATGTAGTTTAGTATTATGATAGTTAGTTGAATTTGAAACTGGTTGGCTGGCCACATCCAAAATGTAGTCATTAATGGGTAAATGCAAAGCTGGAGGAAGGTCTCTGTTAAAGTAT